GATATCACTGCAGACAGAAAACTGACCAGACGACTTGCGGCCGCCAGACACCATTGTAGAATGGTTAATAACATATGCCATATTAATCCTTAGGGGCAGTAATTTTTCAGATGCCAAACCTGTGTGTTGAAAAAGCTTTTGAAGTGCTGTTTTAGTATTATTTTCTCAGATGCTAGCAGCTGACCATGTGCTATGATTCTGTCTATCTGGGTTGGCCTAGTCACCTTTTTTTTCTTAAATGATATTATTTTTTAATTATATTTGTGATCAGTGATTTAGTTGAAATTTTTCATGAAGACGGTAGAATTTAGTTTTTCTTTGGCAGGTTGAGAGAGGAATTTTCATCTTTTGGGTAACAAATACTGTTTTAAAAAAACAAATATCTTTAATAGCCACTACTTCAGCTGGATTAGTCTTAAGAATCCTGTCTTCTTGAGGGTATATGGTTCAGATCTCCATTTCTAAGGTTTACTTGTTATTGTATGCCTTTTGGAAACGTAAAGAAAATAATAATCTCATATGATCTGTGTTGCTTTTTCTCCTACTGACAGTGCTTTGTTATCTCTTTGTGTTCAGTAAACCTTGTGAGAATGGTTCCGTTTCAGTATTGTATCAGTAGCAGATTTGGGAGAAGCTGTAGATAGGTCAGCAGGGCTTCTTAAATTGAAGTCAGAAATGCATTTCTAGAAACAAAGTTTGTCTTAAACTGTCTATGTGGTCGAAAGATGTGTTTTAACAACTAGGGAGCTTGCATGGCTGCTGTAAGCTGGTAGATACTTGGATGCTTCATCTTACAGATTTGCTTTTCTAGTTGTTTCAGCGATACCTGATATGCAGGATGGCTTGTATCCTGAATTCAGGATACACTGGGTCTTGTACTGTATTATTGCAACTGTCAGGCTCAGCTGCTTAATGGCTTTTCCTTGTCTTTTGCAGCAATGTTTTTTAAATTGATCTTAAAAGATTTAAAATTTTATAGTTGGAAAGATTGCAGATTTCATCTACCTATTTTGTCTTGTCCACTGCATAAAATAAGGCACATTGTAGACCAAAATGCCATTGTTCCCCGTCCTCTGTAGCTTCTGTGACACCTTAAGGAGACGTAGTCAAACTGGATTAGAGAGAGAGGGGGTATATGGCAGCATGCCTCAGTGTGGGTTGTATGTGCACCAGTGTAGTTACAAGGGTGTTGACTATTGCTTCTTATTTCAACAGTGAAAATAGCTGAATTAGAGTAGTTTGCTAAACTGGGATGAGTTCAAAATGGTGCGTGTGTTCATAGTTTGAAGCTCCAGTTATATTTAAGCTTTGTGCTTTAATTTCTGTTTCTAATTCAACTAAAAGCTCTACAGGAAACCATTTGTATCAGTCTTTCTTTTTCCTAAAATAAAATCGAAGGCAATGAAAGTAAAATTTCAACTTTTTTTTTCTTTTCCTTCTTTTTTTCTTGTAGTGTTTAGATTGATCAATATTTGTATAGAAGTTAAATAGTTTCTTTTTGGTCACTCAGCACTGGCACTGCATTCCATTAGGGGATATATAATGCTCCAGCATGTCAGAGTGCACAAAGGAAATAGCTGAGAAATAAAAATACCCAAAACAACAGTGCTAATATTTCCTTTTTATATAGTTTCCTATTTTAAATGGTAGTATAAAAAGCAGTTTTACTTCTAGGTGACCTTGTTGCAATGGCTGTTGTGGCAGGAAGCTCCAAAAGTGTGTAACACAATGTTTCTATAGCGTGGAAGCCTACAGAACTAGATCTATGACACAATTTCTTTGAGAGGCACTTCTGAAGTGTTTTGTCACTCAGTGGTATTGAGCTTTTCTGTTGTTGTCAGCACGGAGACTTGAAAAATCAAATAAAAAGTACAAGTAATGGTGAAATTTTTAATTAAATGTATCTATCTTCCACTAATGACTTCCGAAAATGTATTGTAAAAATAACATCCAACAATGAAAACAAAGCTTGAGTCATAAATGCTGTTTGTTCTGCTTTTTCCAGTTTTAAAATGAGCGCATTGAAATGCACCGCACTGTTTTAAAGCATCACGATCTGAACACTTGCAAGGGAATTACAAAATGAAGTGGAAATTACCTTGACTGCCCTATGGAACTTGTTGCTATAGGAGGTTGCGCAGGTGAAAAGCATCAGACCTTCTTACGGAGGGGTAGTCTTTTAGTGTGGTTCCCTGGATGCAACGCTTGGTGCCAGTGATCCCTAAGCCACTGTCTGAATCGAAAGCAAGCATTCCTCGTGGGCCTTTCTGTTGCTGTTGGGTCTTTGGTGTGATCTAGCATGGCAGTTCAGTCATTTCTTTAAATAAATGTCAACCATTCTCTTAGGAAGAAAACAGCCAATTTGCAATGTGATCCTGGTCTGTGGTACCAAAAGAACTGATACTTGAAACCCAAACCACCGTTTATATGGAGAGGAAATTACACTTGGGCACAACTAGATAGTCTGCCCTACAAATGGAAGATGTCGATGTTAAGTAGACTGCATTTAATGATGCAGTCAAAACTGTTGAAAAAAAAAATGCTCCAAGTTTGGGGTTCTTTAATTCATCTAGCATTTTAAATATGGGCCTTTAAACTTTTATCAACAAAGATAGTAATGTTAAATGGTTGGCAGAGACGTTCATGACTGCTGACAGCAGTTTAACTGGATGACAGTACGGGAAGTACCCTCACCAAGTCTGCAGAGGTCCCCAGCCTGGAAGGGTGCTCTTTAAGCAATTTGCAGCTGTGAAGTTGATTGTAATTCCTTGGAATCCTTCTTTTAACCTCTCTTAAATTCTCTCTCTGTTTTATTTTTTTTAAAGATACCCTTTCAAAATGCAAAAATATTATATTGTGGCATTTACTTTGAGCTATCAGTGTCTTTCAGAATACACGTTTCTCGAGAATTCTAGTCAAAATTGGTTAAAACTTGTAGTAGCAATTAAAGTTTCTATAGATAGTGAATTCCTAGGTCACACTTTAAAATACAAATGGCACATGTGAATTATAAAAAGAGGTGATAGTACTGGTTCCTTTTTTGTTCCCACATTTGTTTGCTTTTAAAAATAAAAATCCTCAGTAAAATGAATTTTTCCGATGAGTGGCTTCTCACATTTTCACATGGTGGTTCCTAACGGGCCGACTCCAGTGAGGAGCATGCAGGGGAAGTGAGTGCGTGCTTGGGAAGTGACTCGTTTGTGACCCTTGAGGAATTTGGGTATAGCATGAAACAAAGTGCCTAGTGTTCACACAGTAGGAGAAACATCTCAGTTTTGTGCAGTCACTCTGAATCTTATCTTTCCTGGAAAAGATGCATTTCAAGTCTAGTTTTTACCACTGGATGTTGGGCAAGGATAGGTAATGTGGGGCTCACAAGTTGTATTTGGCTCGCAAGTGCTTGAAGCGTGTTTGAGGCTGAGACTTCACCTGGCTAGCGTGAAGGGGTGTGTTTGTGTGGGAACCCCTAAGTGACCCAAGTCCCTAGGGCCTGCGGCGGCTGTCGGTGGTGGTTTTTCCTGGGACTCGGTTGTACCTCTCGGCCAGTTCTGTCCTGTGAAGGAGTAGAGGACACACATGGAACCACTGTTACCACGTTCCAACTCACCTGCTTTGTGAGCTACTGTGATTTTACTTCCTCTCAGGTTTCAAGATGCAGTTTTTTTGCTTGCAGGTATTAGCCTTGTGAAGATTTTTGGTATTTAACGAGCCAATTTTTGAAATAAAGAAACTTTTCTTCTCGGAATTCTCTCTTACTCACGTTTTTCTGCTCCTTTTGATTGCTTTGACATTTGGTTTGTAGAAACTATCACAAAATAGAGGTTTAGTTTAAATTCAGAAAAAGGAATAGGTGAACTTCAGTATTTTGTTGTATAGATAACTAGTAGAAAGCTGAATGTAGAGAAAATGAGATAATGTGTTTGTAGTTGTCTCCTTTAGAATGTTTTTTCAAGGTTGTTTCTGGTGTCTCAAAAATTTTTAAGCCATCTTTAAAGACGTAACTTTCAATGTAAAAAAGCTTATACTGCTTATCTCTCTTTGTAGCTTCCAATAAAGGCTGGCCAGCAGAATACCCACACCAAAGTCAGTACGGAGCACAACAAGGAATGTCTCATAAACATTTCCAAGTACAAGTTTTCCCTGGTCATCAGTGGTCTCACTAATATCTTAAAAAATGTTAATAACATGGTAAGTTTTCTAATTTTGGATTGTTGGGTGATTTTTCAAAATAGTTGTTATTTATTCATATTATACAATCTGCAGAGAGTCACTTGAAATTTAGTCAGATTGTTGCTTGCCTTTTACACTTAATTTTTTTCTTTTCATCCTCATGTGCTAAAGTTCACCAACAGCACTGAGCTGTGTTACATATAAAGGCGATGAGATAGTTGTGGCAGAGAAATCTAAAGGAAGGTGGTGATTAAGGGGAATCTCCTGTTAGTCATGGGAACAGTCTGTAGCTGAGAAGGTATGTGGCTGGCTAAGGAGTGGGTACATAAAGGTACCTGATGCTACTTTGGGTCTCTGAGCAATGTTCAGATACCAGTAGAATGCGCTACTTGTTAGAAGGTGGGGGAGGATGTTTTCCATCCCCTTCACTTAGCTAGGGAGGCAGTGCTAGCAAAGTCTATAGAGGAGGAATGCAGTAAGGCAAAGGAGCTGCTGAGCAGCAGCACTAGGAGGGTTTTTTTTCCCCCCTCATCTGTTCTGCCAGAGCATGATCTGCCAGGAATCATTTTGGGAAAGGAAGAAGGGAAAGGGATTTAAAACTTAGGCTATTTGAATTTTCCAGGCTGTTTGGATGTTTTAGCATTTGTGTGTGTGTATGTAAAATATATATATATATATATTTTAACAGCCAGATGAATTTCAGTTGGAACCCTGTAAGAAAAGTCTTTGAAAACAATCTCTTGTCTAATACTGCCACTATAGACTCATACCTCCAAAGGGATACCTTACTATCAGTAAGAAAAGTGAATGAAAAATGTGTGGTGTGATACGCATCTCTTCCATTTACTGTTTGATATGGATCACAGCCTCTCATTAAACCACTTAATGTTGGTACTTGAGGGCAGTACACCGGTGCAAAGGGATGAGGTTCAAGGTGATTTTTCTGCGGGTTGCCAAAGAGAAATCTTTAGAGCCAGGTGTCTTAGTAGATGGTTTCCTTTTGCGTACTATTTTTTTGTTCTGCCTCCAAGGGAACCATAAAATGATTCCTGAAATCCATCAAAATATTTGACTCATCAGCATCACTAAAACTGTCTTTTAAAATAGATCTCAGTGGAACCAAAGAGAAGAGAAACGTAGAAAGAAAAAAAAATTAATGTGGATGTCCATAGTGTGTTGCCTCTAGAAAAATAATTCTTACCATCGAGTTGGGTAAATGGAAAGTTTAGGAATCCTTTATGAGGAGAAAGACGCAGTTGGATTTTTCTTTTTTAATGAAGGTCTGGTTTTGGATTTGTCACGAGAAAAGTTTAGTTCATTGAGTTTGGAAGTTGTGTGATTTGTGATCACGTGGAATCTCCATGAACAGGTAACAGAACTGGCCAAATTCTAGCAGTACTTTTTTTTAATGGTTTTAATAAGATAGTTTGCAGTGAGCTCTTTTGGATGCCAGTTGTATAGAGATGCACATCTGCTAAAACACTACAAAGGATTGATAAAATCAGAAAATACGTTGCCCTACTGCTAGGATTTTAGGCTGCTTAAAGCAACCTGTAATCCCTTCTGAGAGAGAATTTATTTTAATTAAACTCCGTAGGCATGAAGGAATGTGTTGATGTGTAAGATGATTGTCTGATAAATGAGAAAACTACACAGATAAAACAAGTTTCTGTATATGATATATAGGTTTTGAGAGGAAAGACCTAGCTAAAAATGTCAATAAAAAAAGTCAACATTTGCTTTGCCCTGAGGAGCAAGACTTACATTTTTTTTTACGTTTGATGGACTGAGCTACTATATGAATCAGCAATATTTTTGAAGGATTTCTGTAGCTGAAACAAAACAGACCAATAGGCTGTCATAATGGTCTTACATTTAGAAGAAGTCTTCGGGGTTTGGACTCTGCTGAAACTTAGACTTAGTTGAGCTAACCTCTCACGTGGTTTAAAATATAACTTCTTTTGGGTGACTTCTACATGTGTTCCACATGTAGGCAATAGTACCAATATATTTTTGGCTAAATCTTTTCTGCTTTATTTTGATGTCTTAATATTGCTGGAACTAGTCACTATTGTTGGCAGTAAAATTGGGTGCTAGCTTAAACACCCGATGGAATTCCGCCTTCATCCTGTATCTGAAGTGTGGCATATTTTTGGAGGGTCTCATGTTTCTTCCTGTGGTCTGTGCTAAATTTTGCAACACCCTAATGTCGATACGGATTTCTTGTAACATCAGTTCTATTAAGATGTTGGCAATGAAATACATAATCGGAAAAGAGTCAGCAGTAATTGATACCAAAATAGTTTCTGAAAAGGTATAACCTTCATTTCTGAATAAATTATAGGCCTGATGAAGGTAAGGGGCTGCAGTGTACCTCCAGTCTTACTTTGCGGTAACTGTTTGTGCCTTATTAGATTTGGCATTGCAGACTAGACAAAGATATTTCTTCAGCAGTAAGGTTTTAATTCCTATTTTAATCTGATTTTTGCTGGCTTTATTTCTAAACTCAAAACCACAGCAGTAAAGGAGCCATAACTTATTGTGCTACTTTGCTACATTACTTCAATGTGTTACAAGTCAAATTTCCATGTCTCGGATGAATCCATATCCTTTCTACTTCTAGAGAATATTTGGAGAAACTGCTGAAAAGAATTTATATCTATCTCAGCTGATTATCTTGGATACACTGGAAAAATGTCTGGCAGGGGTGAGTAGGCTTGCATAAGCAATTGCTGAGTTGGAATCAAATAAGTTAGAGAGTACAAGTCAAATGCTTGTGTATCTGTTATTACTGGTACTAAAGTTAAAACTCATCTGATTTAGAGCAAAGTAAGATTAATGCCGTTTAAAAAAATACTAAAACGTCCTATAAATGCAAGTAGTTGATATAGCTGATAAATTAAGGATTTGTGGGGTGCTTTTTTCTTGCCTAAAACTAGTGATTTTTTTTTTCAGCTAAACAGATTCAAGTACACTTTTGAATTTGTCCTTCCCACTACTCAACTAATTTGTGGAGTTATAAATAATAATTTTCTTTTAATAATTTGTAAAAAGAATTGCAGACAACTGTACTCAGACACATGTGTGAACTGGAGTAAGGGAAGACACAAACCCAAATGAAGAATTAGATGTGGTTATGAAGCTTCGCTTGATTTTTTTTTATAAGCTTTGAATGCTTGTGGCATATTCTGCTCAGTATTTTTTGAATAGACGCATGCAAATATTTTTATCCCACAATTTAAACCGAAAAAGTAATGGGATAGTAAATAATGTTAAAAGTAGCAGATAATTCAGTACAAGTATTTCAAGTTTTATGCTAGTAAGTTTTCTGCATACGGTGTTGATTTTTCTTTAAATTTCTTAAGACTTTCATTTGGTGAAGTAGTTTTTTCATGTATATACAGCAGAAACCTTGCTATCACTATTCTAAAGATTACTTTTGCAGGTGTTTCCTAGATTATATTGGTTAACCATGTCCAAACTTCCACTGGGAGTCCAGTCCCGAGGTTTCCAGTCAGAGCTGTGCTACAAGGCAGTTTGCTATTACCTTTGGGATGTAAATGTTGTACAACTTACTGTGCTAAACTGTGTAATTGCAAAGCCAAACTTCACTGTGAGCAAAATTTGCAATGGTTTATTCCTTTAACAAGAAAGGAATTTTTTTTTTAAAGCTGTATTCCTGGATGAATGTCATGAAATCATCTAAGCTCTTTGCTGTTTCCCTGCAACAGTTTTTGAAGGTTCTTTCTTTATAAGGTAATGACCTTATTATGGTTAGATTTGTCAAGCGGCATATCTTATATTACAGTACTAAAACAGTCTGAATAATTGTGGATTCTTCTAAATTCACAAAAGATCCAGGTAAATACATTTTCCAGAATAATTTTCAGCTTTTACAGCTGAGGTAAATACCCCTTTTTGGCACTTTCTGTGTCTTTGATGCAGTGAGTCAAAAAAACTGTTCTAACTTTGGAAATTAATTCTTTTAAAATATTTCTTATATATATATATTGAAACGATAGTGGTTTTTTCCTGATAGATGATATTTGAACAGCCTAAAATTGTGCTGAATACTTCTTGCTTTGTCAATTCAAATGAGAGCAAGTTGAGCCAGTATATGTTTAATAAGACTGAGCCAAAGTTCTATACAAAGAGTGTTGTGTTCTGTGATATCTTCAGACATATTTCTTGCTTGCTGTTCTTGCTCAATGTTTCATCAAGTTCTCATGGCAACAGGACTCAGGTCAACTAAGTGGGAGTCTCTGAAACTTCTCAATTCCCTATGGTAAATTCATTGGTAGAATTTTAGAAAACTTTAATGCTGACCCTTCTGTTAAAACTTGCTCTTAGTAGAGCAAAGTTTCACTTTGAATTCTTGCATAAATAGTTTCCTTATGTCTCATACTGTGCAAACTGGCAAAAATTAGATTTTTCTTCTGCAGGAAAGTTAAGCCATTTTTGACTCGTATAGAGCAATCCCAGGCAAGGGAGAAGCACCTCTTTTTTGGTTCATTTTTTTCTATAAAATATTTGCTGTCAAAATATAGTGGTTAGAATACTAGCCAGAAGAGAAGTAAGGGGGGGGTCTTTGCCCTTTGAGCTTCCATTCAAAGCTGAGGTAGTTAATGCTCTACTGCTTATACTTTACACAGATCAACAGGGTGCATTCATCAAAACAGAAGTGTGTTTTACTTCAAAAACTAGTTTGATATTTTGCTTGATACTTGGTGACATTGGTGGACTTGGTGTGCTACATGTTTTGGAGACTTAACTGAAAATGTAAGATGGTTTGAATGATATGGGTTATTGTTCAAATGGAAAGAAGCCTTTTCTGTGTAGACTATTTACACTATGGTCAGTGGTAGCCTGCAGGCAGAATTAGAAGTTCAGATTCAGGTCCTGTGCCTACTAGTGGCAGATGCTCCATTTTTTTGCCTCCAAACCTATAAAATAGAATTTCATGGAATACCGAATATTTATTTTTAGCAACCAAAGGATACCATGCGACTAGACGAGACTATGCTGGTAAAACAGTTGCTGCCAGAAATCTGCCACTTCATCCACACTTACCGTGAAGGGAACCAGCATGCAGCTGAACTACGAAATTCTGCCTCTGGGGTCCTTTTTTCTCTTAGCTGCAATAACTTTAATGCTGTGTTCAGCCGCATTTCCACCAGGTAGGTGTTTTTTCAGTAGCCTGATGTAGTGTATTAGAAGATCTACTAAATATCGGTGTCTAGAACATGTCATGAATTGTAGTCTTTCTAATTTCAGAAAAGTTAACTGTTTAAATGATATTTAACAAGAACTTAGTTCTTAAGTGAAACTCCCTCTACCTTTCAAAATTTTACTTGAGTTTCAGGTTACAAAATGAACCTGTTTCATATCCATTCTAGGTTACTGCCAGCATATTTTCTGTGAGCTGCATTTATTGCTTTTTTTAATCTGCCTTCATAAGTACAAGTCAAATGCTGTTGTAGAGTGAAAATAAGAACTCAGCTGAATAAGTTGAATAAGTTTCTATGAGTGCAAGGTGTTTTGGAAAAAAAAGGATGCTGAAGATAATGGCTTGTATCCATTTACTTATGAATTTAGAATGCAAAATTTTGATTGTCTACAGCTCTGTTGGAGCCCCCAGGCTGTTTTCCTTCCTAATTTTTCTTGCTTGAAGGCTTTTGTGTTAAATGTATCTTATGCCTGAAGGGGACAAAACAGCTGGACTGTTTGTTAGTTGGAAAACACCCATTTGTCTTCTGACTTGACTTGAGCTTCGCAGCACATTTACTGTAAAAATAGCTGCCTTTTCTGCTATTCTAAGTGAGAAGAGAGACAGACCCAATGTTTCCATCTATTCTTTGCTCTTTTCGCCCTGTTCCATGTCTTTCTGTTGCTTCAGCTTTTGCCAGTCCACTAGAGTTGTGTATTAAGCTTTTTGTTACTGAACTACTTCGATGTTTTTTGAAAGTTGCTTGAAATAGCTTAGCTCTTATCACACATTGTCACAGCTAACATCATCCTTGATTTGTCAGAAGTGGAGCTTGGGCAGCCTTATGTGGTCGCATAGAAATGAGTGTGCCAATTTAATTGAAACAAAGATTTATATATTCCTTATAATGTAAAAACAATTCCATTCCAACATTTTGGAAAATATTTGCATTTCAGAAATCAGTCTAAAATTATTTAATGACTTCAAATTTGAAGTATTTTAAAAACTTTTACAGAGCCTTTAATAACTTCTGTTTCAAGAACATAGACTTGGCAGCTAGCGTGGAGGATGTGGTTTTACTCAATAGGTTGATTATGTTTTGTTGCTTATGGAAATGGAAACAATTTCTTTTGCTCCTTTTATAGGAAGGATTTTTTGACAGTCTTTGAATCTAGTCCATGGATCTATATTTATTCATATGTCTGTAGCATGGTTTAGTTCTCAAGCTCCAAAGCCCTTCTTACCATCCATTTGAGCTGGATCATAGTGCTTTTTCCCTAACCTGTTTTTCACTTCAAGATGGCTTGTACATAAATAGTTAAATATTTGACCAGTTGTTGCTGATCTCCACAGGGGTCAGCTTGCCGACAGTTAGCATTGCTGCTCTTTTGACCTGTGCTTCCTGTTTAGGCATATTTCTAGGCCTTGTACAGCAGCTGGGGGATTTTTGGCACGAAAAGCACAGCAGTGGGGACCTTCCCATTCCCAGCGAGGGCTGTTAAGTTTCCCTGGCGTTGAAGAAATGAAGAACTGCTTTTGTGTGTAGTACTAGAAATCACATTCCATGCCTAAAACACATCTGTAGCTTTGGAATAAGACATGGCAATCTTTAGTTTGTGAGAACATATGATTTAGTTATTAGTGGCTTCGTATCTGATGAGATGTTTAGTAAATCATCTAACACAAAAGAGTGAAAAGATGCCATTGTGTTTAAAATGGTGTGATTAAACTTCATCTTGTTTCTTTAGACCAGAAAAACATGGACCTTCTTTAGCTTACAGAGTGGTTGCAGCTCTCTTCGGCGATATTAAGTACCATCAGACATTGCTTTACTCTTGAAATTAGCTGGGGCAAGACATGCTGTTAAGGAGCAGTAGTCTAAAGGTGTCATGATTCCATAAATTTAATATTTAGATGAAAAGATGACAAGATTACTGCTAGAGTATGGTAGATAACAGAAGGATTTAGGCTAATCTTGGGCATAAACAGACTATCACCAGATGGTATTGGTATCCTGTAAGACTCATCGCTAGTATTTCTAGATCCATTTCCAGTATGAGTGTGGAACAAGACTATAATATTAACTCTTAATCATGCAAGGTCTGTCTTTCATTTCTAAACCTGAAAAAGTTTATATGAGGAGATCGTATTATATGAGGAGATCATATAATATTCCCCTGCTATTCAAATGTATAGAGTCATAGGTATGTGTTCATACCTATCAGACATAATCTGATTGAGAAGTTGGTTTACTTTGCATATTTTTAGATTACAGGAACTGACTGTTTGTTCAGAAGATAATGCTGATGTTCATGATATCGAACTTTTACAGTACATCAGTGTGGATTGTTCAAAACTAAAACGACTCTTGCAAGGTATGATTTGAGCCTGTGTTTTGGAATATTTTTACCTGAATATGGCTAGTTAGAGATGACACAAGGTATTGATATATATCTTTTTATTGCTGTGTTTTACTCCAAATAGTCATTACCAAAATATTTAAAAATACTTAAGTAGCATAAAGACACTGGCTTAAAATTTGCTTTGCACTTCAAATGTCTTTTATAATCTGTGTTGCTTTTTAGAACCAAGTTTCTTTTCTAAATGCAGAAATGTTTTACCTTTACAGAGACTGTATTCAAGTTTAAAGCCCTTAAGAAAGTAGCTCAGTTAGCTGTTATCAACAGTCTTGAAAAGGTAAGTATTTTAATATTTATCTTCTCTTTCATTGCTTATTTGCAGACTTTATCTAATTTAGGAAGAGTTGCAATTCAGTAATTTACTATAAAATATATGTTGGTGCATCCCTTTGCATATATGTTTTGCAAGAAATGTCGAGTGATTAGAAGTAATAGTAAAATCCCTCTTCATTTAAATACATAATACAGAAAAAAGATTTTTAAGCTCTGGAATGTAAAGATGTTTTGCATTATCTGCAGGCATTTTGGAACTGGGTGGAAAACTATCCTGATGAATTCACAAAGCTGTATCAAACACCACAGACTGATATGGCTGGTAAGGCATAACAAATGACACAGTGTTCAAAAGTTGGTTTCTCAGGCATCACTACATTTACTTGCATTTTATGCCCTCTTTGCTTCTTGTGTAGCCTGCAAATAAGAAACAAATTTCTGTCAGTCTTTGTCAGGGCAAGGATATATTGCTATCTCTTTTCTCTCCTGACTCACCTTTTAAAGACTCATTTTGTGGTTCACAACACAAAGAAATAAAACCCAAAAGATGGAAACTCCTTAAATATATATTTTTCATCTTGATACAGGGAAAAAAAAACAACTTAAGAGAACGCCACCTGTATTTGTCTCTAATCAAAAAGAGAGGAAAATTTATATTTTTCAGGTAAACCATGGCTTTAACTGGGTTGAGACCATTTTATCCCCAGTAATGTGCAAAACAGAACTTTTTTCTGCGTAGGTGGAGCTATCCCTCTGCTCTTTTATACCTATTCTTTACCTTTTCATAATTAAAATTGGTATTGAACTTGGGGTTATATTTTATGCAGATTGTGCAGAGAAGTTGTTTGACTTAGTGGATGGCTTTGCTGAAAGCACAAAACGTAAAGCAGCAGTTTGGCCACTGCAAATCATACTCCTGGTCCTGTGTCCAGAGATAATCCAAGATATAGCAAAGGATGTGGTAGAAGAAACTAAAATGAACAAGGTAAGAGAAGAAGTGTGTCTGAATTCTGGTTCTGATTTCTAGAGGATGCTTGTCTTTGCTTATTCTATATTTCAGGTATATTTTATTTTGTCTTTCCTGCCTAAAAAGCACATTACAATTCCATATGTAAATTTCTGCACCCTTTTTAAGTTCTCACCTAACATATGTTCTTTCACTGTCAATAATTCATACAGATAATCTGTCCCAAACAATGATATTTCAGAACTTTTACATCTCCTTGGAGATTTGAATCCTAGTGTTGCGATTTCCCCTGCCTCCACCAGTAGCAAACTTAGCATTGCTTCTAGCTGGCCTGTATTGTACTGATCTAGGTTTCTGCAGTGTGTGTACTGCGCGTTCCACAACTGCAGTACCTGTAGCAAATGTTGAATTTCATGTGGCTGCAAACATCATGGTTAAGAGTAAACAACCATCTGACTGTGCCATTTGGATTGCCCTAGATCGTTCAAAATTAATGTCTTTAATAATCATAACGTTTCTTCGGAATGCTGCATCGAGTTGTTTTTTGCAATCCCAATAGCCATGATTTCGGATCAGAAAATGCAGTGTTGTTTGGTTTTAATATTTAAGGATCTAAAAACCCTGACCACAGATTACCAAAGCTCTGGTTATAACTATTCCTGATTTGAATTCTGCAGAAACTGTTCCTGGACAATCTCAGGAAGGCACTTGCAGGCCACAGTGGGAGCAGACAGCTGACTGAAAGTGCTGCTATTGCTTGTGTTAAACTGTGCAAAGCATCTACCTACATCAACTGGGAAGATAATTCCGTCATTTTCCTACTAGTGCAGTCCATGGTAGTAGATCTTAAGGTAAAAATGTCTGTTTCCTAATTGCAATGAAGAAATTTCAATTTTAAAATACTGAAATAAACTTTGAATTTCTCCTTAATTGACCATAGTGTTTTTCAGTGGAAAGTTTTATATTGAAAGTAGAGAAGAATAATCTTGGCATCTGATTTATATATTTATATTTTTTTGAAATATATAGAATTTGCTGTTTAATCCAAGCAAACCTTTTTCAAGAGGCAATCAAAATGCAGATGTAGACCTTATGATTGACTGCTTAGTTTCCTGCTTCCGCATAAACCCTCATAATAACCAACACTTTAAGGTGAGAGCACTACTTCCTGGTAAGTCATTATCCATGTGCTATTGATGACCTGTTAATTATAAAAGATGTGCTAACAGCAGCTGGAAGCTCATAAATAAGTTTAACTGTATAAATATCCCTTAGTAATAAATCCCTGCATGTTTTTATAAATCTTTTCTTAGCTGGTTAGACTTTCTCAGATTTAGATTTGACAGCTTTGTCAGTTTAATAAAAAGGCTCCAGTATGTTATTCAGCATGATAAGAAAGATGGCAAAGGAAAAGATGTTCCTAAGTGGCTTTTATGTATTTTTATTGTAGATCTGCTTGGCACAGAATTCTCCATCAACATTTCATTATGTACTGGTAAATTCGCTCCACCGAATAATCACAAATGTAAGTTCTGAAAGTATTTTATCAGCCCAGCAATCTGTGGCTTCTATTCAGATCAGTGTCTGCTTATTAAATACAATTTGAATAGTAGACCAGATCTTGTTGCCTGTATCCATGCAGCAAGAGTTGCTTGCTAATAAGGAACGACATACAAATCTTTGTTCACGCTGTCCACCAGTTGGGTTCCCAGTTTGAGAGCTTGTATTCCAGTATAAAATTTCAATACAAATATGTTTTAATACCCTCTAATGTAGGATGACAAATGAATCTTATGTTCTCTGGTTTTGTAATAGGTACTGCTTTATTGATACATGAAAAACACTCTCAGGACGTTCATTGTTACACCACCTTCTACTACTTGTAGTATATTGACTTGGGAACTTAGGGGAAGAGCTGGCCTCATGGCTTTGCTCAGGGATTTGATCCAGTATGAATTTAATAGTGTAAAATTGTAGTAAATGCTGAGTGCCAAAAATATTTTGAAAGTTTGTGCAGTTGTTCATCTTCAATGAGTTGTTGTACTTTAAGTCACTAAAATACGACTTAATTTTTATACTGTTTAGAAATAATTTCCTGATCAGTATGAAAATAGAATCAGTCAGTGTTGGGCAACCAGCCTTACTTAATGTGCATAACATGTTGTATTTCATTTATCCCAACATCGTAATGAAAACACTATATTAAAAAAAAAAAGTATCCGGCACGTTGACAAATAGGGGAGAAAATGCTACTGTAGATGTGGTGGTGTATCTGGTGGAGTTATACAGCTTTTCAGATATTATCAAGCACTTAAAATACCAGTTTTCCATTTTGTTTAGAGTATCACAGTGAATTGAGTGCTCATTGTTTGTTTTGAAGTATTACTAGCATTCAGTATCCTGAAATCTACCATGGTTTCCTGCGTTCGCGGTTTCAGAGTTTGTGCTCTTTCAGAAAGAAGAGTAATATAGTAAGCAGCTAAGTTGGAAGTACTGCTTCTGTTACAACTCATTTAGATACTACGAGTTTTAGGGTGAGAATGCAAAATTAACGTATCAGTAATACTTTGTAAAATACTCATGTGTAAAGGTTAGTTATACTACAGCTTTTGTAACTTTTAGAGGTGTAAAATAAATCATAATCTAACTCACATATTACCAGTTCACCGTTTGAGCATTTCTGTGTTTTCATTCTAGTCTGCGTTGGACTGGTGGCCCAAGATCGATGCTGTGTACTGCCATTCCATGGAGCTTCGCAGCATGTTCAGTGAGACACTTCATAAAGCTATTCAAGGCTGTGGGTCACATCCAGCAGTTCGCATGACTCCAGTAAGACTTCTAAAGAAGCTGTTAAAACACAAACCCTTTGTTTTTCCCGTGTCTCCATTCCATTCCAGCTTTTTTATTCATTAACTTTAGACTGGAAACTAGAGAGGGGAAGAACATTGCAATCCAAAAAGCAACAGAGAGCCATACATGCTCTGTAAACCTTGCAGGTGGTGTATTGACTAACTGTTTCTAGTCAGTGATGTACGTTTCTCAGTTTTCATGCTGTTCTTAAACTGGCAACATAGAAGTATTTCTTCTGTAACTGTCCTCTGTGGCTAACTGTTCATTTTAAGCTTTCTTGCTGTGTGTATAGCTAGGTAATGTGTCCATTCTTGTTCAATCTGAAAAACAAAAGCATTCTGTATGTGAAGATAATTTCTGAAAACTGCAATGCTTTTACCATGATTGACACGAGTATCTCTTCATTTGTCTTGCTTGCTTTCTGTTGGGCAAGTTGACTGTTTGGTCTTGGTGACAGCAACAAAGTAAAAGATTTTTCAACCATTACGAGATAAAGTCAGTATTCTTGGTTGTCTTGGAAAAAATCTTGAGTAAATTCAAATTTGTAGTTCATCCAAATTTTTTTAGTAAGTTCACATGCAGCTGCGTTGCCTTTCTTCTGAACTTTCCATTTAGGACTTTCGATGTGTCAAGTGAATTTGGTTGGTTGTTTTAGAAGGCCTAAAATGATACATGAAAATATTCCTATTGGGCTTCTCAAATGAAAGCAAATGATCAAAATACCTTTAGTTGAAAGCTACATGTTTGACTTGCTTTTTACATGTATATATTCATCTGTTGAGAAAATAGCAGGGGTGTTGTAATGGCAACTCTGACATTGATTGGTGGTGCTTTGTCTTCTGCTTCTTATTTTCCGTTCTTATTGGCTGCTGTCGCTCACATGGTCAGATGCCAACCAGTCACTGTTTTGCATGGCAGTGGGCCTCTGTTGCTGTAAGTATGACCCATTGTAACTACCGCAGAAAAGCCTTTCCTTACTCTGACTTTTCTGTGCATAGTTACCACTGCAGTCACTTCATCTGGGATGCAAGAGGTAGCGTGTTTTATGTAAGAATGGAGGGCTGGAGGAGACCTCTTCGGCACTGCCTGGCAATTGCGAGGCAATCCCTTTCACAACCAGTTGAGCTCCTTCCTAGAAGGAAAGGCTTTTTGTTGGTTCTATTCTTTCCCTTCTGCCCCCTACTTTTCCATCACAATGCTCTTCCAGAATCTCCCTGCTCTGGTGGTTAGAACTGTTTTCTAATTTCCAGCCTAAACTTATTTCTGTTTAACTTAGCCTCATTTGTTCTTGTTCCAGTGTTGTCTGATAGCTTCAAACCGGTGTTTGTCCCCTTGATGTATTTGCAGAGAGCAGTCATGTCCCTGTCTTTTGTTTATCGATAGTCTTTAGCTTTGATTGTGTGAAGTAAATAAATCGCTTCACATAAATGAATCGGCTTCTTTTGCCATGTGCCTCTTCTCAGAATTCCCTTAACTGTAGCGAACTAAGGTTTAGCGCAGAGTTAGTTAACCTCTACCAGCGTGGTATGAATTTCTTGATCAGATGCTTTTTTATGTGGTAGATTTTATTCTGTATATTTTTGCACTAACTGTTTAGCAAAATAGCATGAGGTTCTAATTTCTTGTGGAATTTAATTATACAATGTCATAGCTCTTCTTCAGTTACCTTGATTTCAAGCTAGGGTTTTTTTTTGTTAAAAACTTGTAAGTTTAGTGAAAATGAAAACCACGATGTTATTGTTTGAGATCTTCGCAAATAATAAACCAGACAGAATAGTTTAAAAAGCTGAGTTTCTAAAGAGTGTTGTATTCTGTCTTGTGTTGAATATCCACAATGGCAGTATTTTTGTCCAAGTTACTGTCTTGTAACTATTTTGGTAGCTGTAAGCAAAAATACTAATTTAATCCCTGCTGATATAAGATTAAAATTAATGAACATATAAATTCTGTCAACTTACTGGAGAGAGATGAAAATCTTTTGTCTTTGGACATACTGGGGACCAATTAACGCAAGTTCACATTTTTTTTTATATAGGTATTTATATATGTGTGTGTTTATATATAAATGCACACATATATATAGTATTTTTCACAGACTTTAGTATGCATGCAGATTATTTTTGTTGAGATGAAGAAACTGCAGTTGATTGCCATACAACAGGGTGGTTCACTCTGGGGGGGTTGTGCACACCATAGGATTGAAGCATAAACTCAATTTTTGAAATCCTTACAACCGGTACAATCCATATACGCTTACTTCACAGCCAACATTGTGTATGACTATTTGTTAAATGTATTGGTCATACTGCTACCTGGATTCTGTGTGTGAACAGCAGTGGTAGAATATGATACAGTTCACACTGGAGTCAAACCAGAATACCGTATGTGAACTCTATCTTAAAATGTCCTCCATTTCACATGAGGAAGTTGACTGGTACAGAAGGAGTTTACTGTTTTTTCAGATAAAGCTAGATTTTTATTTTTTCTTTAATTGAAGCGATGCACTGTGTACCGTGTGAAAAATGAAAGGTGCATTTTTCAGAGGCTGTACAGATGAAAATGCTATCATCCGGACTGTGATTATGGCAGAAAATAAAGAGAATATTTTGCCTTTGGAAAAAAAATTCCCTACCCTCTCATGTATTCAAGCTTACTTGGAAACATTTATTTTTATTTCTCAGACCAGAGAAAATCCTTCTAAATCCTTATTAGTCTTTTTATCCATTTTTCTTTTGCCACAGTTTGTCTTATGCAAAAACTTTTCTTATGTCCACATGCAGCTCACTAAAACAATTCTTAGGTAAACTTTAAAGATGTAATAAAGTAATAGCATATGCATATGTAAAAGGGGATTTTTAAGTAGAAGGCTATGCGACTGTACTTGAGTGAATTTAATATACTTTTAAACTTTTTCATGTATTATAGATTATAAAAGCAATACACTTGATAAGATGTTTAATTATAACTAGTATGTAGACTACCTTACTGACAATGACTGATTTTTTTCCTTCCCTCAGAGTCTTACATTTAAGGAGAAAATGACAAGCCTTAAATTTAAAGAAAAACCTACTGATTTGGAAACCAGAAGCTACAAGTTCTTGCTGTTGTCCTTGGTAAAACTGATCCATGCTGATCCAAAGCTTTTGCTGTGTGTAAGTATATCATACTATTCATTCATAGTAAAATTTACTTTTGAAGCTACTAAATGAATAAAAATTAAACACATAAAACCCGGCATCTAGGATACTTGCCTACTCATTCTTTTCTCTGGTGATAATGCTTCTGTTCTTTCAAAGGAAAAGGGCAAAACCAAAAAGAAACTGTAAGACATTTTACAGAACTAGAGCAACACAGTGAAAGGGAGCATAAAGCTCTGTAACTCTGAAGGGGCTATGAGGGGGAAGGAGAGGGGAATAGAACAAGAAGAAAACTAAAGTAAGGCGGGGGAAAATTAGTCATCGTTTCAATGAGTAGAAAGACAGATGCGCTCTTAGGTTTTCCATTTTCTCAGGTCTGTTTATTGTTTAATTTAAAAATACTTCAATTCTGTCAAAGATATGATATGCAAGGGGTATCAGCTTAAAAAGAAATGGGGTACTCTCTTAAAGATGCAGAAATCCC